GCCGCTTGAGCGCGGCGTCGGGGTCCCCTCGGTAGTGGCCCTCCCACGACGGGTCGACCTTATCGCTGTGGATTAACGGCTCGAGGTGGACAAACCGACGGCGTAAGGGGGGGCCGCGGCGATCGAGAACCCGCGGCAGCGCGTACAGCTGCTGCCGCGGCGGGGAAAGCGGGCGGAAGAGGTTGAAAAACGAAATCGGCCGACTGAACATGAAGTCGTTGTTCACGTACAAAAAAAACCGCGAGAGGCCGGGGATTCGGTGTAAGCCCGACTCAATCACGTTGGAATTTAGGGTGGGAAGGATGTCCGGCTCTTTCTGAGGGTCCGGGAACAACTCCGCGTGCGTGACGACCCGAAGCATCGGAAAGGCCTCGACATCCAACCACGCAGGAACCTGATCGCGATCCGAAAGGACTAAATAAACCCGACGAATTAAAGGACGGGGTTGGAAGCTGTCCCCCTCGTCCTCTAGTTGGACTTCATATCCCAGCGCCTCCAAGGTTTCTTGATCATCCTTTTGCGAATCCGTCGCGGAATTGGGGTGCTGGCGTAAGGCGTGGCTATTTATCGCGTACGCTAGGAGTGCCCTCAGGGAATACCGCAACTCCTGCCAATCGTTATACCGCTCCGGGGTAAAAGGGACCTCGCGCATGGCTAAATGGCGTTTAAAAGAAGGCGCCTCGGGATTCACGTAGGTGTAAATCACATCCAGCCTCATCGGGCTCGCGACGTTGTCCTTGATCGTCCAAAATGTCGCGTTGTGATCCCGAAAGAAGTCATAAAAAGGATTTCGCTCCTCCCCCGAGGGGGTTTTATTCCCCACCACCGAGAAAGACGTCAAAAAAGACGCCGCCACGCGATGAAATGCGTCGGACCAGTCCTCCTCGGTAAAGTCCCATACACTGCGCTTTAAGGTGGAATCAAATTGGGCGGGATGAAATGTCACCTTCCCCTTTTCTTTTTTTTTGTGGGCGTAGGAATAGGCGTCCGTCTCGGAAAAGAGCATAAGAACGGTGCTGTCCACCGCGGGGGCCTCAAATCCATAGTCGTTCGCCTCCTCCTCCAAACGGCATCGCTTTAATTCCTCGGGCTCCTCGACGGTAGTCCCTAACGCGGAATCCCACAAATTTGTCCAATCGTTGTTTGGGGCGTAAACCAAATTGGGGTGCATGAAATAAAGCCATAATAACCCTATCATGGTGGAAACGGCTAGGAGGGCCATCCAAGTTCGGCGGAGATGGCTAAACATGATATTTTTTTGGAGAAAGCAGCGGGCCCCCAAAGCGGCATTGTGTGCGTAGGCTTCGAGTTGGAAGCCGCCCGGAGTTAGCTTCCGTGATCGCATGGCTCCAATCCGTCGGAGGAATAGACCAGGGAATACAGGATATCACTAAGGTATTTTATTCAAGTAGATCTATTAAACCCGAAGTAGGGAGAAAAAAAAAAAGGATCAACGGTGGCCTACAAAGCGATCAGCATGCATTAGTCGTGTACTTGAGAGGCATAACGTATCAGTACTTCCCAAGCCTCATTTGGAATAAAGGATGAGGGAAAAACATCCAACTTCACCACTCTGAAGAAATAATCCAAGCGGAAAAGAGCGCACTGTGGATCAACCGTTGTAATAGGTGTTCAATCTCTCCTTTCCTGATTATTTCCAATTTTATGCCCAATTCACATGATTTTTTTTTTGAGGGGGTGGAATGCAGAACACTTTTTATGGTGTCACTTTCTTCTGCATTCTGAAGTTGGTAAATAAAATTCAAATTTGCCCTAATGCTGTGTAGGATCACCTTGAAGTAATTTACAAACCTAAATAAGGTAATAATCGCGCCAAAAGATTCTAGCGTTCAGATCGTACGCTAGACACTTCTCAAACGTAAAATTCGTGAATAAATTCATCCTTTACGTATGTTCCCATAATCAGCGCGTTGCCTTTTATTGTTTTCTTTCTTCAGCCTGAAATTTAGATTTAACATCTTTTGAAGGTGCAGCCACAAATAGCTGCTTGACAAACGACTACTTCCACCTTTCGATCGCTTTTGAGAATATCCGGTAGGTCGTGTGCGGGTCTGAGAACTTCTACGGGAATAATCCCCAAGACACCCTTGGAACCTCCTCAGATACCCCAATAATTTCCGAATAACGTAAATTATCGTGCCAAATTAAAATTTACCCCCAATAAGACTCTATTGAACTATCGTCTAGTCTGGCCCTTGATCAATATTCTGCCGCTGTATTCCTTTTTTCATTTTAAAATGTCACCTCTTTCTCCTTACTCTTCTAGATAGAGAAATGTTGACTTGTTATGGTAGAGGTTGGATTGATAGAAAAGAAATGGGAGGATGGCTTAATATGGGCTTTACACTAATAGGAAACAATGTTGTTTAGTGAGATTGAGGATACTAGTTGGGGCACCATTTCCCTTCACTAAAAACGAAGCCCGTTAAGGAAAATCAATATTAGTGAAAAGTAGAAGATGAGTACTCGGTGGAATAAATAAAGTTGGAGGACACCCCCCCTTCCCTCAAAAGCGGAAGGAGCAAGGTCATTTTCGTCGCAATAGAAGTTCTTGAAAAAAAAAATTAACGATTTGGATTCATCAAGGAGTCACTTCACAAGGGAAGACCTAAATAAAGGAGGGAGGGAGAGTATATCGTTGCTTCTTTACATGTTCTTATACGACATGAACACTGCATCATGGGTAAGCTATCGTGATAACCGAACGTCGATGATGGGGGTAGTGGATGGAGCACAAAAAAAATCGACCATCATGAGGGGAGTTTCCACGCAGCATTAACCAACTTCAGGAGACGCAAAACTTGATAAACAGAATATTCTACCAATATTTTTTCGCCATTTTTTTTTATAGATTCTCGTCAATTTTCGGGTGACTAAATGTGCAGGTCTGTATATCAATGCAACATTAACACACCAATAGAAAAGGATAAAAAAAAAATCTGATATTAACAATAAAGGATGACATGATAACTAATAAAGTAGCATTAAGTATATATTTTTTATACACGTAGCATCGGTCGCAACATCTTGCACGAGTAATATGGGGGAAAATTAATTGCATATACCGTAGCACCCGCGGCTTTTGGTGCCAATGAATTTTTTTTTCTGTATTTTTGTATCTAAACACACACACACACACACACACATTTATATCCATA